CCCCCTCCTGCGGAAGAGGAAAAAACAACCTAATCAGGGGTTGCCGTGCAGAGCACTATGTCAAACACCCTCTACAGAACAGGTGGGCACCCTGGTTTTTTAAAAATGATGAAGGCAAAATTTGGCAAGCAAACCTTCGATTGATCTCTAAGTCTGATACTGTTGAAGACTTTTGGGCTTTATACAACCATATCCAGTTGTCTGGTAATTTAATGCCTGGCTGTGACTACTCACTTCTTAAGGATGGCATTGAGCCTATGTGGGAAGATGAGAAGAATAAACAGGGAGGATGATGGCTGATTACATTGAACAAACAGCAGAGACGAAGTGATCTCCATCGATTTTGGCTAGAGACACTGCTGTGCCTTATTGGAGAACCTTTTGATGACTACAGTGACGATGTATGTGGAGCTGTTGTTAATGTTAGAGCTAGAGCTGATAAGATAGTAATATGGACGACTGAATGTGAAAACAGAGACGCAGTCACACACATAGGGAGGGGATTCGAGGAAAGGTGAGGACTTCCTCCAGAGACAGTGACTGGTCATCAGTCCCACACAGACACAGCTACGAAGAGCGGCTCCACCACTAAAAATAGGTTTGTTGTTTAAGAAGACACCTGAGTATTCTCACAGGAGACTGCGTCACGCTAGGCTGGGAGCTGAACCAAAGCCTCGTCCAAGCAGAGTGGACTGCACTGAAGTTTGATTCCATCTAAATGTTGCTAAGATATAAGAGAAGTCTCATTCACCTTTGTCTTGTACCTGTGTTCATTTCTCCCCCCCAATTTTTGCTAGTGTGTCCACTATCCCAATCAAAGAATCACAGTATCCGTCACCCCAGAACCCGCAGATGTGTTCCTGGCCTGCACTGTAACAGCTGGTTAGAACTGCCACGATACACACATTTGCCTTTCCACAGTATTTGAAAAAGAACTTGCATTTCTGTTACCTTAGCAGGAAAAGACCTGTTTCTGTTCCACTCCGTGCAGGAGCGTGATTTGCTGGTGAGAGTCTAAGTGCAGTTTCCTTTCCCAGGATGCTCCTTGCTGTCCTCTTGCTGATGGCTGCTAGAGTTTAATTTATTTGCTTCCCTCCTTGATAACTTTAGTGATTCTGATTTCAGTTTTCATTTGTTTTGTTTTTGTTTTTTCCTCATGTAACATTGGTGAAGGATCCAGGAATATGACAGAAAGGTGTAATAAACATTAAATTTGTGCATTCTTTGGTAATTTTTTCTTTTTTTGTAACTACAAAGCTTTGCTACAAATTTATGCATTTCATTCAAATCAGTGATCTATGTCTGTGTGACCCTTAAACATAATTGTGGACTATAAAAATGTAACACCATAATTATATTCCTACCTAGAATTAGTATGTCTAATTTGTGTCTTTATGCTGTACTTTAACACTTTGTGTTACTTAGGGTATTTGCTTTGGTTACAAATGGTTCACATAGAAAAGCATCCCATTTGTATTAAGACAGTGTAAACAACTGTAAATGTGTGCAGTGAATTGTCTTCTAGAAAACTAGATTTGTCCTTTTATTTCTCCATCTCTGTAGAAGGAATCTGTACTTCATATTGCAAAGGCAGTCTCTTGTGTCTTCTAATAGTGTCATCCCCATTCACAGCCTAAGTTTGGAGCACTAGTTTATTATTATATTTATTACAATTTTTAATAAATTGAATAGGTAGTATCACATATGTACTGAAACTGATGTGGCTATCTTTTTTTTGATAAAGTTGAGGCACAGTTTTCAGTCTTAGGTTAAATAATATACTTCAAATATGTTACAATTCATGAGAATTGGGATTTTAGTGTATCACCATTTGATAAGAAGTGGTTATAAAGCTAATTGTTGACTTTGAGATGCTTTTACTTAAAGGCCAGAAAACTAGAATAAGGAGAGTATAGGGGAACGTGTGTTAGGATCTTAGTGTTATTGTCTGAATAAAACAGAATAAACAAGTAAAAAAAAAGAACAATAAAACAAAGAACTAAGCTTTGGCCCTCAGAAAAGTCCTATGTGTCTGTTTGTCTGTCCAGTAGTTCACCTGTTCTGTATCTCCTCTTCAGTTTCTCTGACCTGCTGAAGGCAGGTGAGATCCTGACATGCTGGAGGGGTGTGTGTGTGTGTATGTGTGTGTGTGTGTGTGTGTTTCCCTTTTCTGAAAAGCCCCAGAGCGTTCAGTTTTGTACAAAGAATGAAGTTTTCCTCCCTCAGATAGAAAAGTGAAGTTGGGTGATTAGTCTGCCGACTTAGTTGGACCCTGAATCCGAGCTGCCGGAGGCTGGTGCTCACAGCAGCAGCATTGGTGGAAGTCACTGGCTGTTTTCTGAGATTTCCACAGCTCCTTGTCTGAAGCAGCCTTAGAGCCTTTGAGCACACAATGCAGGCACACCTGAAACTCCTGGATTGTTGGGTATTGCAAACCACACACAGTAAAAGACTGAAGAGACCTGGCATGATGCTCTCCTTCCGAAAAGCACAGAGACTGAATCAGGGACTTTGGGACTTTACCCAAAAAACAACTGTGCAACAATAAATAAACATGCCTTTGTACGGCTGTTTAAAGGTTCAGTCTCCCTGTGGAATAATCCTTTTGTTCACTGTGGAGATGTATTACTCTCATTGTTAATAAAGAGCTGACTGGAAGAGGCTGGGTGGGCGAGCCAGACTAGGAGAATGCTGGGAAGAACAAGGGAGGAGTCACAGAGGCCGCGGGAGGAAGCAGGAGATGAATATGCTGTGTTGAAAGAAGGCCCTGCCACGTGGCAGGGGGTAGATAAGAAATATGGGCTAAGTTAAACTTGTAAAAGTTAGTCAGCAACAAGCATACACTACTGGGCGAGCATTTATAACTAATAATATGTTTCTGTGTGGTGACTTGGGAGTGGGCTGGTGTGACAGAGCTCATCGGTGGCCCTTTCAAAAACTTCTCTCTATACAGTCCATCAGAGGCTGGCCCTTCCTGGGGCTACACAGGCCTAAAATTTCATCTCGGAGTGACCTCTTTCTTGGACTACTCACACAACACAGGCCACTCTGACAAGCTTAATCGAAGCGCATAGACAACTTGCCAGCGCCTCCACTCTGAGGGAACTCTCTTCCTCTCCCCAGTGTTCACTATCCGCCTGTAGATCCAGGGAGAGAAGAGCCTCCTGAGTGCTCTCTGGTGTTACTTTTATGTTCGCATCCCCCTCCACCGCCTTTGGGTGTTTTGGTGACACACAGGACTTGGCCTGGAGTTTGCCCCATAGCTCAGCCTCCAACACGTGATTCCTTTCTCTGCCTCCCAGACGCTGGACTCCTCCAGGCGAGCCACCATCTCTGGCTTGCCTGTGTCTTTGGTCTCCTTGGACATTAACTGTATGTCACAGCTTCACTCCTTTCTGTGTGTGCAAAGGCTGAAGGGAGGGCAAAGAAGTCTGCCCTTTCACAGGGCACAAGGTTGCTATGGAAACGAAGTTGACATCATCCTTGGAAAGAAGGAATTCCTAAGGAAATCTGTATTTCCAGGCAACAAACACCCCAAACTCTTACTGCTTAAATTCCAAGAACAATACCCTGTGAGTTAAAACCCAGTTCTGACAGACAGGCAAACAGGAAAAGCTTCCTCCCAAACAGTCCTGGCTTTTTCTCATACACAATCTCAAGGGAGAAACACAGGGTCATCCTAACTCTTTTGCTTTTGCTCCAGGGAGGGTTTTATTTCTTTCTTATTCACCGTGTGACTTTCATGCATGCATAAATACCTATGGATCATATTCACCCCATTATTGTCTATCTCCCCCATTCTCACTGACTCCTTCAGCCCCCCAAGTCCTGTGTGTGTGTGAGTGTTTGTGTATATGTGTGTGTTGTGAGAGTGTGTGTGTACTTGTGTGTGTTGTGAGAGAGAGTGTGTATATTTATAAGAGAAAGTAGGTGAGTGCATGTGAGTGCATGTGTGTGTGTGTGCATGTGTGTGTGTATGTGTGTGTGTGCGTGTGTGTGAGTGTGCGTGTGTATGTGCATGTGCGTGTGTGTGTGCATGTGCGCGTGTGTGTGCATGTGCGTGTGTGTGTGCGTGTGTGTGAGTGTGCGTGTGTGCGAGTGTGCGTGCGTGTGTGTGTATGCATGTGTGTGTGTATGTGTGTGTATGTGTGTGTGTGTGTGTGTACGCGCGCGTGTGCGCACACATAAGACTTTCTATTCCCTGACTTTTTTTCCCTCCAGGCTAAAATCAGAACCAGACACCAAAAGGCCTCTTTCTCCTAAACTAGGGCAGGGAGAACAACATCTTCTGAAGTTGAGAGAACTGAGAACTGAGTTGCTGATGTGGAACACAGCCATTACCGTCCTCATCAGACCCGCTGAAATGGCAGGCACGGGCCCCGACAAGGGCCAGTCAATCTGTAGACTGTCCTTGTGGAAGGAGTATTTGAGTAGGACTTAGACCCCCACCCCAAACCTTTTCCAGGTGTCTGCAATTCTGCTCCAGCTTCCCGTGGTGTCGGGAGGTGCTGGAGTTTGTAGCAGGTGAAAGCTAATGGCAGGGAGAACTCCATTCATACAGCTGCAGGGAAGTTGTCTGTGCAGCCGATTTGCTGGCATGGTTGGGGGTAACTTGTGCTCCTTAAGTAAATCCAATAAACCCACTTGTCCAGCAAGCCGGACTTAGGTAGAATTGTTCTTCTGCCTGCTGGTGCTGCCCTGTCTAAGGGAAGCAAACATTTGCTCTTTTCTTCCCAGAAAGAGTCCACATACTTGCTCGTATTCTTTCTCCTTAGAGATGTCCCCGAAAAACTTCTGAGTTTATATTCCCTGATGGACTGCTCACAGTCCTTCTTAGAAAGATGTTGTCCCCCTGCAGTTGATGCTCCCAGACGTCCCTCAGGGGTGGACGGAGGACGAATGAGAGCTTCCGTCAGTCCACTCTCCAATCTCAAAGCCTTTGCCCAATACCTACATAGACAAGCAGTAATGAAGACAGTAGGGGACAAGGAAGTACTTACCAAAACCACAAAGACTAGCCCCACAGTCAGAGTCCTGTAGCCCGTCAGTTGCCCCATGAATGAACCCAATGGCTTAGAATTTTATGGAATAGAAACACGAATCCAGGTCCCTCAATGGCATCATGAGTTGAGGAGGCCCTCCAGTCATAAAGGGGCTGATTAACTGCGTTGACTTCCTGTTTCCGTGAACACTGTCACCTGATGTATGTTATATATTGGATATCAAATACAGAGTTATGGAAATAGCTGCAGTGATGGCTGTTGGTGGGGAGGTGGAGCTGGCTGGGTTACATGGGTGCTGAGGCAGAATTCAGGTGGAAAAACAGGCTTTTTATTCACATACGTACTTCTGTGTGCTAAGATTCCTGGTTCCCAGTGAGCCAATGGAAGCATACGCCCAGTGGAGTGTTTGTTGCAGGGCACAAATGTCCTTGGACTCAAGCTGCCCTGTGGCTCTTTTTATTGCCAGGTGTGGCAGAGCACAGAGCCACATCTGATGCAATACCTGTGTTCCAAGGACTGGAGCTGGCAGGGCTATGTGGGGATCAACTCTGCCACTAGAACTGTGGCTCAGCTGCCCCAGAGCTTAGTGTTTGCTTGTTTATTTGTTTGTTGATCATCCTCCCTCACAGATAGATTAACATAGTATAGATTGATGGTCCCTTCATGGGGAAAATAAATGGGCCTGACTTCTAGCACAGGAACAACTGCAACTAGGGCACAAAGGACGCATGCCTGTGTCGATTGTATTTCCTGAGTATTGGTCAATCATTATCTGGATGCATTATTGCTATTGGATGCATTATCCCCTCATGCTTGTCTAATCAATACTGAGATGAGTGCCTAAGTCTCGTTTTGATTCATTTATTCTTATTTTATGTGCGGTGGTGTTTTGCCTTGAGTGTCAGGTCCCCTGCAACTGGAATTACGGACAGTTGTGAGCTGCTATGTGGGTACTGGAAACTGGAACCAGGTCCTCTGGAAAAGCAGTCTGTGCTCTTAACCACTGAGCCATCTCTCCAGCCTCTTAACTCTCATTTTAACTAAACTAAAAGAGCAGAAGTTTAATTATAGCTCCACATCTAATACAAAGCAATCACCTTAAAATTATTTAGGCTATATTATTACTCAACAACAAATTCACCACAGTCTTCTTAGCTTAAGCTACTGATGATTTGGCTGTGCTCCCTAACTTGCTTTGTGGAGCATCTCAGTTAAATTTCATAAGAAAGATAATACCTGAAGCAGAGCAGGTTATTAGCTTATTAAAACATGTTGCCGCTAAATTGGGAGTTCATAGGATTGATTCCTATCTTCCTTATCAATTACTTGAATCCTTCCTTCTGTCTCTTCACCTACTGTAATTATGTATTAGCAAGGTATAGAATTTTTTTCATGTTATAATTCTATTGTATGTAAACTTGTAACTCCTTATTTATAAGAAATTACAGACTTAATAATAATGGAAAGGATGGGTCTTAAACCACTCACTGATAAAGAACCTACAGAACTAATTGTGGCGCTAAATAAAATGCATGTTCATTATTTGTCTCACACCGATTGGCAGATGCAACAGCGTGTTCCTCCAGATCTATAGATAATTGTTATCCAAAAGGCTCCTTTTAAGAGTTTTTGAAGACACCTCACGGGTATTGCTTAAATTTACAACTACAAATTCTATAGAGATTGGTTTTATGGTTTTACAGATGGTTCTTCAAAAGGACAAGGAGCATATGTTTTACATACAACTTCCACCAGCTCCACAAAAAAACCTTGTACAACTTAATGCAGCCCATTGGAGACCTGCTCCAGAGTCCGCAGAGACAGTTCAAAGAAAAAGCTCACAGCGTAGCAAAACTTAACTTAGGACTTTTCTTTCTGAGGGGTACAGAATAAATTCACACACACACACACACACACACACACACACACACACACACACACACACACACACAGTCCCAGTCATGCTCCAGTTCTCTTCATTCTCTTTATGCTTCTCCCTGTTTCGATTCTCCACAGCTCATAGACAGGTTCAACAGCAAAACTTCTTGTGACAAAGCTACAAAAGTTGCGTCTGAGGGAGTAACCGTAGCAACGCCCAGCTTCAAGGTCACTTGTGTACAGACTGTGACCTGAGGCTGGGGACAGTGCCTGGGGAGACAAGCAGCTCAGAGATTCCTGAAGGGAATAAATCTTTATCAGAGATTCCTGAAGGGAATAAATCTTTATCAGAGATCCCTGAAGGGAATACATCTTTATCAGAGATCCCTGAAGGGAATACATCTTTATCAGAGATCCCTGAAGGGAATAAATCTTTATCAGAGATCCCTGAAGGGAATAAATCTTTATCAGAGATCCCTGAAGGGAATAAATCTTTATCAGAGATCCCTGAAGGGAATAAATCTTTATCAGAGATCCCTGAAGGGAATAAATCTTTATCAGAGATCCCTGAAGGGAATAAATCTTTATCAGAGATCCCTGAAGGGAATAAATCTTTATCAGAGATTCCTGAAGGGAATAAATCTTTATCAGAGATTTCTGACTGGAATCTCTTTATCAGAGATTCAGCTGGACTTGGCAGAAGAGGCTGGTATAGTATTTTTTTTTTAATTTTTGTTTTTCAAGATAAGGTTTCTCTGTGTAAGCTGTCCTGGAACTTGCTGTATAGATCAGACTGACCTCCAACTCACAGAAATTTGCCTGCCTCTGCTCCCCAAGTGCTAAGATTAAAGGCTTGAACCACTATCACCTAGCTTGCATAGTATTTTAAGTTGCTTTGTGTCAGTAACCTTGGTTAGACATCTGTATTTCTGTCTTTTTGTATATCTCTAAAGTTTTTTTTTTAACTTATCTGCTTATAGGAACATTTAGTTTAGTTTGAAATTGTCCCGAGGTTTTGAATGAGCTAATTGTGTGTAGCTTGTCTTATGCTGGGGAGAAATTATTGCTGATAGTCTGAATTAAAGAAAAAAAAAACCAGGCTTTTAAGTGTGTTACAGTCCTCATGGGACAATAGGTCTAGTTATGAAACATATCCTAATATATTTTCTATTTATCAAAATTATACACCTTATTGAGAAGTCAACTTCCTGACTACCATAAATATATGTGCCCATAAGATTGAGATGCAATCCTGAGATTACATATACATATCGCAGAGATTACAGTGCAGGTATTGGGAGATGCTATAGCTGTTTCTACACATGTAAAATTACAGACAGGAGCAACAGTTTCCGGAGTCAATGTTCCTGGAAACCTTGCTTGAGCAGGATCCTCCTCCATCAGAAAATTATTTTATGTGGTGCGTGACACCTGAATTATCAGTTGCTACCTGCTGTATTTGTGTCATGGTCTGAAATAGCGCACGACAACAGTCATTGCTGTGGGGTGTTTGTCGGCTGTGTAAAGATGTATTGCTGTAATCAGCGTAATAGTAAGCTGAATGGCCAATGGCTATGCAGGAAGTATAGGTGAGATTTCCGGGCTGAGAGAGGACTCTGAGACAGAGAAAGGTCGAGAGGAAACGGGGAAGTGTAAGATGAAGAGAGACGATGACATGTGGCAGAGCACAGATTGATACAAATGGGTTAACTTAAGTTATAAGAGCTAGTCGCGACAAGCCTAAGCTAAAAGCCAAGCTTTTATAGTTAATAATTAGTTTTCATGCCATTATTTGTGAACTGGCAGCCAACAAGAACAACAAAAAGAAAAAAACTCACTACAGCTCGTCCTTTCTAACGTGGGAGAAAAGGCATGTGGCAGGATTGGGAAGGCAGAGAGCACACTGGAAGGATGGGAACCTTTGGAATGAGGTCCTTGAGGAGGGAATCTAGCAAAACACCCAGAGTCTTTGTGTTTATGACTAGTACAAAGTCATTGATTAAATCCATACTTTTGTACAACATACCAAGTAGTTAAAAACAACAGTGTTAACAGGCTTGGGGAAGATTTAAAGAAGGAAAGCAGGAGTAAATTGGAATTGGAGTAGTTTTTTAGAATTCTAGATAATAAAGTGGGTCAAGGGATGCAAACACAATCAATCGCACATTTGTCACGTTCCCTTGGAGTCCAAACAGGGTTAAACCAAAAGTGCAAAAAATAGGAGTTAGATTCTTTTAAAATTTTCTCCTTAAATGATTTCTGGTACTGCCTGAGAGATTATTACATCAGACTGCCTACAAAATGTAGTAAGAACTAGAGCCTTGCCGTAAGTTCCTCCACAAAGGGACTGCCACTCTTTGACACTATTCAATTTTTATTTTGTTTACAGCATCAGCTTGATATATTCTTATTTTTCTTTTCTTTCTTTCTATTTTTTTCAAGATAGGATTTCTCTTTGTAGACTTGGCTGTCCTAGAGCTGCCTCTGTAGCCCAGCTGGCCTTGAACTCAGACCTCTGCCTGCCTCTTCCTCCCAAGCGCTGCTTTTAAAGGTGAGCACCTCCCTTGCCTGACTGGTTATATAATTTCATGCTTACATGGGGAAACACAATCATTTTCTCCTTCTAGATTTTCTGTGATGACTTCTCAGGTACCTCTGTGTATCCTGTTATCTTGTTGGAGAGTCTTCTTCAGGTCAAAATTCAAATTGCCCTGAATTTTAAAGCTCTCAAACCTTATAGCCTGTCTTAGTCAGGGATACTATTGTGAAAAGACACTATTGCTGGGCCCCAGCCCCACCCGGTCTCTGTGAGTTGCTGGTCAGCCTACAAGTGCAACCTGTTTTCCAGTCCAAGTGCTTCCTGTTTTCTAGTCCCGGTTTACTGCCCTGGCCTTGACCCTCTGACATCAACATCCAGCAGGAGGAAAACATGCTCTCTTCTACCTGGGGTTTTTCCACTGTGCTGTTGAAGGACCTAAGGTAATCAGGTCCAATGTATTGCGACATCCCAAGCTCAATAACCAGACAGTTGGATGCAAACCGCAAGAGGTTTATTGTTCACACAGGCGCCCACGGGCACTCCAGCAGCCTTAGCTAGCTGAGCGCGCTGGACTTCAAGAAAGTTTTCTTTTTATATACACAATCTTGGCAAGCAATAGGGGTATTGCAAAAAGCACGGGCATAATTTAACCTTCCTGGAGAAACCACAAGGTCAAAATTAAGCTTATCTCAACAGTCTGGCGGTTTCATGCTTCAGCACTCTGGACCAGATGTTCTTTTCG